TTCCTCTCTCTTCTCTGAGGCCCTGAGCGGGGGCAGCAGGAGCTGCTGCTGGCAGCCCCCACCCCGCCCCAGATGCCGGGGTGAAAGCAAGAGGGGGTGGCGGGGAGCCTCAGCCCATTTGGACACCGTGACCCGCACGCCTTCTGCAGCAGCGGTGTCAAATTCTGCCGTTCAGGCAGCCATTAGTGTGCGCGCCGCCTGCCACACGGAACCGCCGACAAAAGGCACAGCTTGTCCCCCCCTCCCGGTGCTCAGACACTAGCGGCTCTAATGAGAAATGAGAGCTGAGGGGAGAGGGGTGGGGGCAGGCCGCATCCACGCGGGCTGGTGGCGGATCTCGGAGGCCGACCCATTTCCTTTGGAGGTCAGGGGCCTCGTGGACCAGCCCACTGCCATGCCACTTGAATTCGCCACTGCTCCCTGCACAGGGCCCCTCCGTGCTCACTCCTCCCGCATTGCTCTTGAAGGGGACCTGTCAGTGCGGCCTTGTAGCTCCTCTCTTTTCTTCTCTTTCTTCCCCGGGGCTTCCTCGGTCCCTTCACCCGGTGCACTTTTTAGAGCCGTAACTACCCTGAGTCCAGCCTTCTTCAAAAAGACAAGCGGAGACAGCCCGCGTGAGAGAGCGCAGGTGGGCGTGCATCGCTCCGAGCCTCCCCTTGCCCCGGCTTCTTGACTGCGCCGTGAGTTATTTAGCCAACAGTAGATGCTTGTGTATATATATTTTAAGAGCGTGTATTTATTAACAGCCTGCAAAGGGGGAGGCTAGGAGACATAGATCGAAAGCGCAATGAGTTAAAAGGGACAACTTGAGGAGCAGAAAGAGATGTTGAGTATAGAATTGTAAAGGACATTTTAATGCACAATCGAAGGTTCTTGAGATATTTTCCAAATAGACAGGAGGTAAAAGAAAACTGGCCCATTACAAGCTGAGAGTGGGGTGTTGGTGACAGGGGGATGGAGCCATGGCTGACGGGCTCCACTCCCACAGGAGGAAGGTGAGGCCGGAGAGCCAGGCTGGGAGTGAAACCAGAAGGCAGGTGCTCACAGCCAGGTCAGGAGGCTTCACAGTAGAGTTGGCCGGGACCCTGGACACTCGCCCCTGGTCCATCAGAGAATGTGCACAGAGAAAGGCTGGCCTCCTCTAGGCCAGGGTTGAGTAGGAACCTGAGGAGCTGGGTCCCAGAGGTGGGGACAGCCTGGGGTGGTGGGGACAGTGCCAGGAAGGATTTGCTGGGCGCTCCGAGGCCCCGAGGTCCCAGCCGGCTCCCGAGAGCCTGCCCCAGCAAACACTCTCTCTGATGCAGGGCCCGTAGCTCGTCCTCCAAGGAGCCTTCCTGCCCTCCTGCCCCTGAAGCCCGCCAGCAGGCCTTCTGGAGCCCCATGTGCCGTGGTGGCAGGGTGCTGAGTGATTAGTTAGGTGATGAGTAAACATTTTCTAAATGGGCTTCCTGGCTCCCTGGTAATGAACAGCCCTAGCAGGAGAGGAAATGGGGGGAGACGCAGTTTGGGAGGCTCGGGGATTGTCAGCCAGAGCGGGCACATTAAAGGTGGCCCAGGGGGTGTCTGGGCAGCTGTGCTTGGAAGCAGGGAGTGGGCTGAGGGCTGAGGGCTGAGCCCTCTGAAGAGGGAAAAGAGAGAGGGCGGGATGAGCTGTGTGGGACACTTCCGGATTGGAAGCAGCAGGTGTCTGGGGATGGGACGCGGGCCCAGGCAGGTTTCCAGGGAGCGCTCCGGCTTGCTGGCATGAGGAAGGGATCTGGCTGAGCAGAAGAGGCAAGTTGCGATGATGAAACTCACTGTTGAGGAACATTGGCAAGCATGGCATTGGTGGGAACCCTGTGCTTGGCGAGGGAGTGGGGGTGCAGGGTAGGAAAGAGGACCTCAAGTCGGGGGACACACCTCCACTTCCAGAGTAGAGTCCAAGTCCCTCTGTCGGCTCCCCAGGCCTCCCCCTTGCCAGACCCGCCTCCTGCACCTCCCCAAACAGCATCCTCTGTCCCCCACTTACAGCTCTTTGCTGATACCCCAAATGCGGTGCTATTGCATGGCTCCAGCCCTCGGGCCACATTCTTCTTTGGCCACCTCATCCTCTAAGAGCCACAGAGTGTCACCTCCTCCTGGAAGCCCTCCCTGAATGCCCCCGCCCCAGGTGAGTTCCTCACTGCAGGGAGTGGAGTGGGGAGGCACTGACAGAGGCAGCAATCCCACACTGGTTGCACCAATCCCATACTTGTTTCCACATTTAGCCTCTGAGCTCCTTGAAGGAGAGCCATGCATTCTCAGTTTTAGCCCCCCAGAGCAGTTTTAATACCGATGGCTGGCACACATAGGCCCTTGATCGGCACTTGTTGAATGAAGAGGAGGGAGCCAGCAGAGCTCTGGGGTCATGGGAGGAGCTCGTGTAGAGAGCCTCAGACCACCAGTGGCCACCCAGCCCCTCCTGCAGATCACCCCTTAGACTGGAGGGGTGTGTGGCTGGAGGGAAGGCGGGGAGGAGATGGCTTTATCCCAGGGTCTAGGGCCATGGTCCGCAAACCATGGCTCGCGAGCCACATGTGGCTCTTTGGCCCCTTGACTGTAGCTCTTCCACAAAATACCACATGCGGGAGGGCAAGTGCTGAGTGAAGATGGCTGAAGGGTTGGCCCCACAGGAACCAAGGCGTGCCCTCGGCCACTGGGAGGAGGACAGAATTCCAGAGGCAGGAACCCACACCTCCCTGCCCTGAACCACCCAGGAGGGGTGCTGGGGCTGGTGAATACTGGGGCCTCCCCTTAGCCCTTGATGTGTCCACTTGCTCTGATGTTGTGGGCAATGGTGCTGTAACTGGGTAGCATGGAACCTGCAGAGTGACCGTGATGTCATCCACAGTGGAACTGCTTTCATTCCTTCTCCCTGTTAGAAGAAGCCGCTAACTGTACACCTGGCATCCTGGGCCCCCTTGCCTTGCCTCTAATAACCGTCGGCAACCAGAGACCGCACTGTGTTTGACAGAAGCGGATCAGTTATAGAACATTAGCATTTCTCATTCTGACATTCCACTTCCATATTACAGGGACTTACTAAGTCTTTTTAAAAAAATTTAATAAAGTACTCGGACTCTTGATTTTCCCACTGAGGGCTTTGCTATCTAAAGTTGGAAATGAAATCAACAACCCAACAACATCCTTGGGTGCTAAGGGACAGCCAAGCTTTGGCACAGGCCTGGATCAGCGCAGCAGGCCATCGGGGAGCGACCCCAGGCCAAAGACAATTTGTTCTGCCCTCGGTGGTGTCCCTTTAGTGCCCATTTCCAGCCTTGTACGGAAAAGGATTGATCCAGACTTGAAAGCACAGCCCTGCCCTGGCCGCTGCGGCTCAGTTGACTGGAGGGTCGTCCCATACATTGGAAGGTTGCTGAAAGGTTGCCAGTTCGAATCCCGGTCAGGACACATACCTAGGTTGTGGGTTCAATCCCCAGTAGGGACGCATATGGGAGGCAATCATTTGATGTTTCTCTCATACATCTCTTTCTCCCCGCCCTCCCTGCCCCCCACTTTCCCTCTCTTTAAAATCAGTAACACATATCCTTGGGTGATGATTTTAAAAACAAACAAACAACCCTCCTCCCTCTACCTGAGAACGCTCTCACTGGCTATCTGGCGTGGCCCCTGGGCGCCTGGAAATCCTTCTGGGTCCCAGGAACTGGCAGCTCCTTTCCAGCCACCCCCCACCCCACTAAGAATCAATAGCTCAGCTTCTGTGGGCGAGGCCCTTAGGAACAGGCCGAGAAGGAGCCAGCTAGCCTGCTCTGGGGAAAGCCACAGAGATAGCGCAGCCAGAGCATGGGAAGTGAGTCATGTTCTGTGCGGGCGAGAAAAGAATCATGGAATGAAGAACGTGTGTGTGTGTGTGTGTGTGTGTGTGTGCACATGTGCTCATGCACCCAAGTGAGTCAGCGTGCCCCTGCCCCGTACAGCTCCTCCCGCCAACGAACATGCTGCGTCTCAGAGCGGTGCCCAGCCAGGCTCGCCCACCCCAAAAGCTTGGGAGCTGCACCCCTTCAGGAATGCGGGGTTAGGAAATGAGAAACAGGGTGCTTGTCCAAGAGAAAAGTGTTTTATTATTATTTTTCTCTCCTAGTTGGATTGAGTGTTTCTTGCTCCTCGTACACATCCTCTCTGGTGGGGAATTCAGGTTTGTACCCACCCAGGCCCCAGCCAGCAAGCAGCACGGCCGACCTTGACTGGAGCCCCCGTCCCCTGCCTGGGCTTGCCCGCTTTATTCCCTGCCAGTCCCCGCTCCTGACTCCTGAGTCTGGCTCCCTGACCTCTGCCCGTCCCCCTGCATCTCCAGAAGGACCAGGAGGGACAGGGCCTCCATAGTGCAGAAGTGCCTGACATGGTTCTTGAAATGCCTTCGCTGTTCTCCTTCTGCTAAGGCCACCGGGTCCTTTCCGTCCTGTCATCCTACACAGGGTCCTTGCTGGGACCCCATCAAAGAGCCTCAATTCAGCAGTTGAGCTGGAGGCCTGGGCTCATGCTCAGAGTCTCCCTGGCCTGTCCAGACCATCACTGGCCAAACGCTGGGCTGATGACACTGCCCAGCCTATTGAACTAACACTGCTTCACCCAATGGCCTAAGGAACCCAGAGCTCCTTGCTTTCCCTCCTACATGCAGCCTGTCCCCAGGACCGGGCTCCCTGATGTCCAACAAGCTGCTTCTCACATCTCACCTTGACGCCAACAGTTACTATCGCGGGGGTGATGGTGCTCCGGGCGGCAGATGGACTTGTGCTGCATATAAAAACAAGGTGATGCTCTAAATATCTAAGAATATTGGTCCCCTGAAGTGATTCTTGCCGCCTCCTCTTCTCGCTGACCCTCCCCAGTGACCATTTGCCCGTGCCCCTGGCAAGCCCAGGTTACATGAGGACTGCTGTTGAAGGTTGGGATTCTAGACAAAAATCCTATAACTCTTTGCTTGCTAGAAATCACCAATACAATTCTCAGTTCAGCAGATATAGTTTTCCATATAGTTTATAAACATGATAAGACATACAGTTTGGTAAGGGTGTGGGGCAGGGACCTGTGTCTTTGTGTGTATGTGTATATATATATATATATGTAGAGTGTGTGTGTGTGTATATATATATAAGTGGACGTAGTTATAAAACTGCACCTCCTGTGAGAACCTCATTGCACGGGATGAAGTTCTGAATTTCAGCCTCTGATGATCTTTCCTTTGGTAGCTGGTTCTTGGAGCCCAGGGTCTGGGCTGGGTGGACCAGGGTTGCCTGAGACATCAGGAATGAGAGGTGTCACCCCAGGGAAGGGACGGAAGGTGGCACACTGTTAGATTCAGGGCAGGTTGACTAAGTGGCCTCAGGCAAAAGCCAAAATGACACCCGATCATGCGCTCCCAGTCGGCCAGTCAACCCAGCCTCTTGGGTGACCGTCATCGGTTCCTCTGAGTCCCGCCTCCTCCAGAAAGGGCAGGGGCCCTTCAGACCTCTCCATATCGCCAGGATTCCACAGAGCTCAGCTCCCGCGGGGCACTGTCCCACGGCTGCTAGTGAAGGGTGCTCTCTGCGGGCTGAAAAAAAAGGAGCCGCCTCTGGCTGGATGCTGTCCTGGCTGCTCTGAGGGGGCTGGCTGGGGCAGCCGGGGCAGCTGGGCGAGGTGCGCTAATCCCCTCCTGCTTGGGGCTGTACACGTTGGGTTTATAATCCACCAGGCAGGACCCAGACGGCAGCCAAAGCCTTCCTCAGACTCTGCCTCAAACCCAGAGGACCCTCCACTTGTAAAAAAAGAACGAAACTCTGTTTCTGGGTGGACACGTGGCAGTGCTGGGTGCTGGTGCCCGGGGTCTTCAGCGGAGAGTGACAGCCAGCCCCAGCATCCAGGCCAGGATGGAGGCCCCCAGGGAGCTGCTGGCGGAGGCCTGCTGCACCCCGCTGGGGGCACGGATGGGGGTCCTGCGGGCACACTTGCCCTTCCTCTTGGGCCGCGCGGTGGGCATGCTGTCAAAGCTGAACTTGTGCGGGTAGTCGGGGGCATAGTCCTGCTGCTCCAGCGCCTGCTTCCCGGCGCCCACCTTGGAGACCTGGTTGCGATTCCGGTGGCTGGTGCAGTTCTTGCCTGGCTTCCGAGAGCCATGCGGGTGGCTCTTGTCCCGGGCGGGCCCGCGGGCCGGGTGGTGCTCCTTGCGCGCGGCCCGGTCGGTGGTGGTGAGCGTGTGAGACTTGATCTGATGGGGGGAGGCCGGCCCGCTGCAGTTCCGGAAGTCCTCGGCGCTCAGCAGCTTCAGGTCCCGGCCCTGCCGCGGCTCGGGGGCCACGCAAGGGACCGCGGAGCTGGAGCCGCGGAACGTGCGCAGCCATTCCCACAGGGAGCGCGCGCGGCACCCGCAGTCCCAGGCGTTGTCGTTGAGGCGGAGGAACTCCAGGGCCCCCAGCGGGGCCAGGCAGTCGCCCTGCAGCTCGGAGAGGCTGTTGTTGAAGAGGAAGAGGGTGGTGAGCCGGCGGAGGTCGTGGAAAGCCCGGGGGTGCACCCACTGCAGCTGGTTCTCGTGCAGCAGCAGCCGGTCCAGGTTCACCAGCCCCCGGAAGGTGTCCCGGCCCAGGCTCCGCAGCCTGTTGCCGTGGAGAAACAGGTAGGTCAGGTTGACCAGGTCCACGAAGATGTCGTCCTGCAGGTACTCGAGGTGGTTGTCCTGCAGGTAGAGGTACTGCAGGCTGTGCAGGCCGCCGAAGAGGCGGGCGGGCAGGGCGCCCAGCCCGCACTTGTAGAGGTAGAGGGCGTGGAGCCTCCCCAGGCCCTGGAAGGTCTCGGGCGCCAGCGTCCGCAGCTGCCGGTTGTCGCCGAGGTCCAGCTCCTCCAAGTGCACGAAGCCCTCGAAGGTGCGGGGGTCGATGAAGGTGATGTTGTTGGAGTAGATCCACAGGGTGACCATGGCGGGGCTGAAGTGGCCCTGCCGCAGGACGGTGATGCGGTTGTTCTGCAGGAAGATGCGCTCGCTGTCCTCCGGGATGCCCTCGGGGATGGCGGCGAAGTTGTGCGCCTGGCAGCTGACCGTCATGGGCGCCGGGTAGCACACGCAGTCC